GGATTTTTGCTTAATCTGAAGTAAGGAGATCCTCTTCTTATGAGGTAGTATCTTTGAGGTAGGAAGACATACTTCTAATCCAGGTCTTTTGGGCTGGGAAAAAACATACCTCTAATCCAGCTCTAATCTGATGGAAGCATGTACGGGGACATGGAAGAAGGAAGCCTTTGCTCTCCTACCTGCACCTTGCTACCAAGTTCACTGGCACTGGAGCCTACTTCTTCAGGATTCTAGCATGTACTGGAGAGCAGCTGAGACATTCAGCGTTGTGGACTGAGCAACTACTGGATTCCTGGACTTGATGTTGGCAGACAGCCATTGTTGTATTAGCCGGACCACAGCCTGTAAGTGTTTGTGTATGTATTCATTCTGTAAGTTCTGTTACTCCAGAGAACACTGACTCATACAGAGACGGAGACACGCATAAAGGAGTCTGGAGGCAAGAGGATCACTTAAGCCTAGAGTTTCCAGAGCAGTGTGGAGCTGGGACTGGTGGCGTAGGCCTATAATGCCAGTGACTCAGGAAGTGGATGCAGGAGGATCACTGCCTCAAGGCTTGTCTGAAAGCTGCAAACTAAGCTCAAGACTGCCCTGGGCAACTTAACCAAAAGAGCGAGCCATATAGCTCAGTAGAAGAACACTTGCCTAGAATGCAGGAGGCTATGGGTTCAAGCACCAGCACAAATAAGCAACAATAGTAACAACAAAACACACACACACACACACACACACACACACACACACACACACACACACCCAGCCTTACCCATCTGGTTAAATTGTAATTTAGAATGTACAGTTCTGGCTATTGTGTAACTCAGCAAGAGAATCCATGCTTAACATGGGTACAATTTCCAACACAAAACCCAGCTCAGCAGTTACAATAACCAGTGCAGTTCTCACAGTATTTTAGAGTCCTCAGCTGGTTGGCACTTCTTCCTCATTCTTTCCAGCTTCCTATTCTGGGCAGTTGTTACAACTTGAGTTTCAATTTTTGCTTCTTTGTTATTGGTTTCTCAGCAATACCCTCTCATTGGGACTTCACCCACTAACTGGGACTTCATTCTATTGTATTCTACGTGACATTCTATTTGCCACCCACAGCTGATGTCCACTTGGATTTCTATTGTGGGTCTGTTATGAAGCATGCTGCTACGAGCCTTTATGTTCACATAAGTGTGTGTGGACAGGTGTTTCTCCTAGGTACATTCCTGGGACTGGAATTGTGGGTCATAAAGCAAATCTCATGTTTAACCTTTGAGTAATGGCCAGGCTGTTCTGCAGGATGGGTGCACAGCAGCGGGAGAGTGTTGCAGTTTCTCCCTGTCATTACTGTCACGTGCTTCTGATTACAGGCATCTTGGTGGGTGCTGCAGTGGTTCTCTGTGTCTTTTATTCGCATATCCTTGGCCAACACTGTTGGTATGTGTTTATTGTCCATTTCTATAGTTTCTTTGGGGAGATGTCTATTCAGATCCTTTGACCATTTAAAAACTGGGTTGTTGTCTTTTTTTATGAGTTGTAGGTGCTTTTTAATTTTTTTTTTTATGTATTACAATAAAGTCCGTTATTGAGATATCATTTCAGGAAGTTTCTCCTATTCTTTGGGCTATCTTTTCATTCTCTCTCTCTCTCTCTCTCCCTTCATGGTCTCCCTACGTAGTTCTGGCTATCCTGGAACTCACTGTGCAGATCAGGCTGCCCTTGACCTCAAGAGGTCAGTCTGCCTCTTCCTCCAGAGTGCTGGGTATACTTTACCATGCCTGGCTTCTTCCTTCCTTCCTTCTTTCTTCCTTCCTTCTCTTTCTTTCTTTCTTTCTTTCTTTCTTTCTTTCTTTCTTTCTTTCTTTCTTTCTTTCTGACAAGGCCTCACTCAGAACGGAGGTCACTATGTAGCCCTAACTCTAGGACTACCATGCATAACATTTTTTTTCAGTCCTAGTCACAGACCCTCACACACGTTACCCAAGCAATCTGCCACGGAGCTGGAGCCCTAGACCTTCCCTCTTTTCATACAAAAAGAGGCTGATGCTGTGAAGTTTATTATTATTATTATTCCTTTTTGTTGTATGTGACACACTTTTTCTTGCCTGTTTTCTGTGGTGCTGGGCTTCAGACGCTGAGCACACGCTACGCTGTACCACACTTTGCGAGATGTTGCTAAAATGCAACTTGCGACTCTGAAGGGGCTGAGATCTCAGACTGTGATAGGGTGTCCTTTGAGAAGGATTTCTTCCATGTTTGGGGATGAAGCTCTCCATCATCAGTAGCAAAGCATGGCTCCTCCTCAAAGGCAGGGAATACAGCCCTTGGGGATTTATCTTCTGTGTTTACAGCCCTCCCTTTCTGAGGTCCTCAATAGAACAGCTGAAATGACAATTTGGAAATGTCCTTTCTGTCGAAAACTCAATGGCCTTTGTCTCTGGACTTGAAATTTTCATACTAGAGGTAGCAGGCGTTCTGAAGGAGGCGGGGAAGGGATGGGGAACCCTGCACTGTTTCCCCATGAGTCATCTTGACTCTGGTTGTTTGCTTTTCTCACCCATAAACTAGGAAGAGCACCTCCATTCTCCCGTCCTAGTGGAGGGGCTGTGAAGATGAATTAATTTGTATTTGTTAGACACTTTGAGACCTTAGATTAAAAGGCGTTACTGAGACTCAAGGTGTTATTATAATAATAAATGATTTAATAGCAGGGTGAGGCCACTGAAGCAAGAACTGGTGGGAAGGCAGAGAGGCTCAAAGCTGAGAAGGGACTGCCGCTGAGACCCTGGTCTAGGCGCTGACTCTTTCTTGGGCTTGGAGGTAGGAAACCATGACTTCTCACAACTCCTGAGTTGTTCAGCCTGCCTTCAGCACGGCCTCATTGAACGCTTCCTACAAGTTCTGCACAGTAAGATTACAATCTTTTCAGGAAACGGGCATATAAATTAAAGCAATTAGAAACAACTCAGGGCGTCGGAATCACGTTCGGGATGGAGCATGACAGGCATCCAGAAGGAAGTGGAGAAAGGACCGGCTAGATGGCAGTTTTCCCTGTTACTGACTCCCGGCTCTACCACCCACCAGCGGCACCACCAAGCCTCAATTTCTCCCTCTGTAATCCGCAAACGTTCTCGTGAAACTCAGAGGTTAACACAGTAAACACTCTAGTGTCAACCCTTCAGGCTCTCCTCTGACCACGTGTCCTGCTGGCCAGACTGCTCGGTCCTCAGAGCTTCAGCCTTCTTCCCGCAACGTGGAGTAAGCGCAGTCCCACCTTCGCGGTTACAGAGCGCAGAGCGCTCAGTAGCCGTTCGCTACCTGTTACTATCATCAACCTTGTTTTTCTCTCCGGAGGAGTGAGGTGTGCGTTCAGAAGTTTAAGTCTTAGGGTGGGGTAGCGAGGACATCTTTGGAAGTCGGACCTTAAGGTCAGTAGGAAAGGACTGGTAAAATTTAAGAGATTAGAGAAGAAGCCAGAAACTCAGAAAAGTACAAGGCGCTGGGGTGTGTGTGGCACTTCTCACTTTTCCATTCTTTTTTTTTAATCTCCATCGTCCCTTTCTGGCAATCTTGGCCCTTAACCAGGGAGTCGCCTAGCCTACCCGCTCTCCAGGCCCAATCTGCGGGCTAAGTGGGCCTTACTCTTCGGCCCGCCAGGAGGAGCGCCTCCCGAAGTCAGGAGCAAGGACGCGGGCCTGTGTACACTTCACGCTCCGCAGGGATCCCGTTTCAAAGTCACCTGAAAGCCTTTTCCTCTCGCGCCGCCCCGCCCCCTCCCGCAAATCACCGGATGCCTGCTTTTCCCTGAAGCAGCTTTTTTTTTTTTGAGGGTAGCGGTGGAGGAGGGGATTCTATAAGCCATTTGGAATCCTCCCTGGTCTACACCTGGCCCGTCTCGAGGCCGAGGAACTGCGGTCGATGCTCCACTCCTCTCTTCGTGGGCGGGTGTGGGGACGGGCATCTAAGCCCCCCACCTCCCCTAAGATCTTTACCGACGGAAGATTTATGCTTAGTGAGGCGCGGGAGCGCGCACCTAGAACTCCAGCGCTCCGAAGGATGCCCTAGAGTGAGGGGCTAGCTTGGGCTACCGAGCGTGGCCCTGTCTCAAAGCACAAATTAAAAACTGTAATTAGGGCGCGGTGGGTGCACCCCAGTAATCCCCAGCACTGGGGGAGCCACGACGTCCGAGATAACCCTCTGACCGTCTCAGCTAACTGAGATGCTGCTTTAAAAAACAAAAACAACCAACAAACACAACGATTTACGTTCTTGCTTAACACGGCACTGGTCTGTATTCTGCGTCGCTGTGTTACCTTCTTTCTCCCATTCCCCTGATTTCCCAGGGCTTGCCTTCCGTTGATAACCAGATCAATTAAAAAATGGGGCTTTCTGTCACTCGGGTTCTTCAGTCTCCCTCTCTCGCTAACAGTCCCGGCCGAGCGCCCTACCCCGTCCCAAGTTACGCGCCTCTTATCTCGTTCTCGTCGGAGGGTAAGATTTTTTTTTTTTTTTACAGAGGTAAAGAGCCACCGAGCCCTGGTTTCGGTGAGGAATTCGAGCCGGTGCCTTTCTGACTCAGCGGTCGCCGTGACCTGCTCCGGGAGGACTAAAGACGCCACCTTCTCCGTCTCCACTCGGGGCTTCTCCCGGGAAAGGTGGCCGAGCTTTTCCCCAGGTGGTGTCCTCCCCTAGCTGGAAGTTCGGGGCGCCCTCTCGGCGTGAGATCGGGCCGGTGACATTAGAGTAACCCCACACCACGTGCGTCTCGGGATCCTAGAGCTCCGGGTGGCGGGGGGAGGGGGAGGCCCCGCGCGTTAATCATCAAGCCGCGGGGGCCGCGGGGGCCCCAGCTCGCCGGTCGGGCCGCGAAGGTTCCCCGTTTCTCCCCCCCCCTCCCGGCACCCCCCCAGCCGCCGATTGTTGGATCGCAGCCTCGAGGCTCAGTCTCCACCCACTGGAAACATTCCTGGTCCGCCCCTCCCTCCCTCCTCCTCCCTCCCTCCCTCCCGCTGCAGCCTGGGCTCCGTTCGGCCGCAGCTTCCTGCCGGGTGTTGAGGGGACCCCCGGGAGTCCAGTGCTCGCGGCGGGCGGAGGCTGGCAGCGTCTGAGAGCGACTTTCAAACCCGCGCCACCTGGGCAGCCCCCCGCGCGCCCTGTGCGTCGCAAGCCGGCGGGGCGGCTACGGCTCGGTGAGTTCCCCCCAGCTTCGCCTCTCTCTCTCTCTCTCTCTCTCTCTCTCTCTCTCTCTCTCTCTCTCCCTTTGCTCACGCTTGATAGGCCGAGTGGAGGTGCTCTGTGGGGACCCCAGGCTAGCCCCTCGGTGGGTTGAGGACCTGGCCCGGGGCTGCCTCGGACGCACTCGGAGGAGCTTGGAGCGCGGGAAGGTCGAAAGGGGAGTCACTGTTTGTCCCCACCCCGGAAACTAAAGCAGCACGGGCTTCGGAGAGTTTGAAATCCGGGCGGCTCTGGACGTTCCCGCCACGCCGTGGCCCTTGTGTGCTCTGGCGCCGGTGGGCTAGGGCTGGTCTGAGACCGTGGGCCCTTCTGGAGGACTTGGCGAGCCCAGGAGCGCGCAGGCACTCAGCCTGTTCCGGGTTGGAGCCACACCGTGCTTCTGGGAATCTCAGCTGCCTGTCCGGGCGGATTGGAGTGGATGCCAGAAACAGACTGTCCAGGAGCTGCAGACCTAAGAGCCCCTGGATGTTAGCCCCTAACAGCCTCACCGTCCCACTCCTCCTGGTCTGGTTGTTTGCACCCTGCTCTCAGACCTTCGATTTGGGAAGCCAGGACAAGGCTTGCAAGCTCGGTTGTTCGAGATGCTGCTTTGGTGGCAACGTTTATCCTGGAGCTGCTTTTGAAAACAAAAGGGGGGAAAAAACGGAGCAAGCGATGTAATGGTTGGAGGGTGGAGAAACTTTATGTATGCCTTTGCGGGGTGGTGCCGAAGGCTGGGTTAGAGGATCTCAGAGTCACGGGGGTTCCCAGCAACCGACCAGCGCCTTAGTACCGTACAGAGAACCCTAGTCTTGGGGTTCCCAGTCTCCAAAGCTGTGCTTTTTAATGCTTGCATTCCAGTCATATGGCCCTTGCTCAAGAAATAATTAGCGTGGAGTATAACGACAGCCCTGGGAGGGAGAGGATGCGCCCTGCTGTGCCTCGGCCTTCCTGAGAGTGGCTTTCCAATCCTTCCTTTGCTAGACTGGAATCCTGTGCCATACAAGCTCAGCATAAAACCTAGGGCCTCAACACCAGGAAGTCAACTATTCTGTTACTATTACCCCTTTGAGGTTCTGGGCTCAATGGCTGGCTCACAGACTCCATCTCTCACTTGTGCAAATACTGTTAACCTGCTTGCTGCCCTTGCTGACCCTCCGTTTCTGGCCTTTCCCATTGTGCTGGGAATTAGGAATGAAATAGGGCCTGTTCTCGCCCCTCCCCTTAAGGAAGGTCAGTCTGTTTTAGAGCCCCACCTTGGGGCTTTTCTATTTACTTTTATCGGAGGTGGCCCAGCCAGGAGAGTAGGAAGACCACTGGACTGAGAGTCCAGAAGGTTTTTGTTTTTGTTTTTAGTTTTTTTTACTAGAGCTTTAATGCTGGCCCTATTGCCGCACATCAAAGATTGATAGTGTTTGAGGCTCTTCTCTACAGACCCCACCCTCTTCCCCCAATTCACTTATCTTTAATGACTCAGTTTCTCTGCAGAGTACCTGCTTTTCTCTATAGAGGACATGGTAACGGTCAAAAGAAAGTGCCTGTATGAGAAGTGCTTTATAAACTAATATCCAAAAAAGATAAGAAAATCTGTGTGGTGATTACAGGGGCCTGTAATTAAGTGTTTGCTGGGTATGCGTGTATGACACAGGGGTTGGTGGACAGTTTACTCTCTGGCTTGTAGTATCGTGCTCCCAGAGTAAACATTGGCCTGACCAAATCCACTGCTATCTCAGGGTCACTGTGTTTACACCGGAACAGGCCAAAGGCCACGGCCTGAGACACGACCAGATCTGGAGGAAGATTGCTGTGGGTCCCAGATGGAAGGCCTGCCGCTGCTCCTGCCCCACTCTGGGATTCCTGCACAGGCTCTGGTCCTGAGCTGTGACTGGCTCTGGAGGGTTAATTGTGAACTTGTTCTCTGTTGTGTTGTGGGTGATGGGAGGCGTTGCCTTTGCAGCTGCACTGAGGGCTGACTTAGGTCCAGCCGTCCAGGGCAGCCCTCCGGCCCAGGCCACTGCCCTGTCCCGCCTCTCTGGCCAGCTGCATGTCCACAGGCCTTTGTTCAAGGGCTATAGCCCTCCCTACTCATTACCCTCTTTCCCCAGTTTCTAGAAGCCCTCAGGACGGCAGTAGTGCCGATAGTGGGAAAGCTTTTCTGGAGTCCTCAGCAGACTTGGCAGGCTCATCCTGCAACCTCCAACACTCTGCTCTCCACACTCCTCGACTCTTTTCTCATCTTTCTCTCCTCCTTCCTATATTCATACCTCTTAGATCTCTTTTATGTATTCATTATTACCTAGCATCTTCTATGTAGGAATACTGGGCATTGATCGAGGACACGGCAGTGATTGAAGGATGCTTTTTTAGTAATTGTTGACCTGGTGGGGCTGAATTCTACTGGGGGAAGTGCACAGAAAATAAGGCGGGTCTTTGAAAGTGTGACAGGAAAAGTCAGGGTGAATTGCCATGGAAAGGAGGCGATGGCAGCTGCTCCCTAAGGAAGGGACTTTGGAGCTTATCATCGGAGGAGATATTTTCTTTGAGCCCTGGATGTCTATCCCTCGAAACCCTGGTCAGCATCCCGATGTGACGTTTAGAAGCAGGGTTTGGAGTTAGATGGCCCTAGATTTAAATCTCAGCTTGACAACTTCCTAGCCCTGTGGCCATTTGTTGACTAAACTCCTCTGAGTCTGCTTCTCACCTGTAAGGTGGAGTTAGTCACCCTGCCTGCCACACGTGGCACTGTGAGCGTGAACAGTGAGATAGAGTTTTGCAGTAAATCGTTTCTCTGAGTGAATTCTGCAGAGAGAGCATCTCTTATTTCCTGCCGGTACTAGGACCCTGGAAGAAAGACTTTTATGAATTGGGAATGAGCAGGAGATTCAGAAGGGGTCCAGCTAGAGAGCTGGACCAATCTAGTAGTAAGCCCCTCTGTTCTACCCTGGATTACAGCTGCTTGGGGATGCAAGACTCCCAGATGTGCGCTGGCCATTGTCCCTCAGATAGACAGGGCAGCTCTGGCCTGCCTTGATTTGGAATTCCCCTGCTTCCAGTCGGCCGGTGAATCACACCTTTGTCTGTAGCCTCTTCTCTTGGCCTCACAGTTCTGAAGGCTGTCCACCCCTCTTCATCTTCATCCTTGTGATAGATATGTTATCCTAAGAGGATGGAGATGGGGAGTGTGTTGAGAACAACGGGTAAGGGAGTGAAGGGAGAGGGGTACAGGGTGTTCAAGGAGAGTCTGATAGGGGACCTTGCTATCTTAAAGTCCGGCGGAGGAAAATGGGCCCTTGATCAGCAAGAGGCTAATCTAGAGTTGCTAGCTGCCTCTCTGATATCTGGGGACTGGGATGTCTTGCTAGCTGGATCTGAGATTTGGTGGCTTCTTTTCCTCTCTTTGAAACAGGATCTGGCTGACCAAGAACTCTGTTTGTTTTTTTGTTTGTTTGTTGTTGTTTTTGTTTTTTTTTTCCTAGACCATGTTCATCTTATATTTGCAGTGATCTACTTCGTACCCTTCGAAGACTTTTGATGAGGGCTCATTTGCCAGTGACCAGAATGAGTTAAAAATGTGGAGGTCAACTTGTGGGCATGCTTCTGCCTTGAGGGTCCTGAGGATCAAACTTAGGCCATCAGGCTTGGTGTTAAATACCTTTACGAACTGAGCACTTTTGTTAGCCCAGAAATTAGTAGTCTTGCTGTGCTGTCTAGGCTGGCTTCTCTTTCCTGGGCTGTAAGAATCTTGACTCTCAGAATTGCAACTGGCTAGACAGTAGACTCAGAGCCTGGTGTTCGAAAATCCAAGCTGTCTCTGCCCAACCCCCGTGATGAGTCTGTTGCTTTCCCTCTTTGCTAGAGCCATCAGCCTCCAGAGGAGTTTAATCTAAAATGCTGTTGTCAAAGTTTGTGGCCAGTGGTTTCCTGGGGGCCCTTCCTGTTCCGGCAGTGAAAGATGTGCAGTGGAGGGCGAGGCCTAGGGAAGTGGTCATCAGCCAGACCGCTCCCACAGGGCCGCTGCAGGCACATGCATGCTCAGGCAGGGCAGCCAGGCCCGCCCTGGGATGAAGGAGCTTTTGGAGACTGTCAGTTGGTGTATAGCCAGATAGAATCGGGCCTCAAAGAAAGGGAAGAGGGCCCTTTGTAGCCTTCAGTAAGGGAATGAAGGGAGAGGGGTACAGAGTGTTCAAGGAGAGTCTGATAGGGGACCTTGGTGTCTTAAAGTCCAGAGGAAGAAAATGGGCCCTTGATCAGCAAGAGACTAATCTAGAATTGCTAGCTCCCTGATGTCTGGGGACCAGGATGTCTTGCTAGCTGGACCTGAGATTTGGTGGCTTCTTTTCCTCTCTTTGAAACAGGATCTGCCTGACCAAGAACTCTGGGTGTTTTTTGTTTGTTTGTTTGTTTGTTTTTCTAGACCATTTTCACCTTACATTTGCATGCCTGGCTCTGTTGGCTTCATTTTGCTTACAAGCTCTCTAAGAGCAGGAATGGGGTTTCACCCATTCTTGTTCTCACACAGAACTGAGACTAGGGCAAAGTGTGATCTCTAGGGCATGACAGGCTGGTGTCAGGCCTCCACCGGAGAGGACTTTCAGCTTGGTGGGCTCACCTGCCTCAGACCCGAGAACCCCAGAAGGGTGGAGTCCATGCTGGTTGTTGCCGGCTGAGAGAGCAAATTAAAAGGAGAACAATATCTTGAGAGTTCTTTTCGTCTGGCATTTGGAGTGGAGGCTTATCATTTAATGTCAAGGACTAGAAAGATTCCTATTCCATGCTGAGCAGGCTCAAGAGCTGAACATAGAAACTGAATACAGTTCAGCACCCAGAAGGTGCTGGGTACATGTAGCTTTTTTTTAGAAACATAGGGAGAGAGTCCTAGGAATTTCTCTGATTATGGATGAAGTCTGAGTTGAGATGGGGAGAGAGACATGTAAAAAGATTTTTTTTAAAAAAAATCACATTTTGTATGTGTGTG